AGAGGTAAATGTGTTTTGGTTCGTGTCTCCACTAGGAGATGCTTTGGTATGTATGTGACGTCTGTACGTACCATCATTTAATTTTTTCAAACTTTCAGGAATTAAAGTACAAAAAAAAACTAAGAAGGTTTTATTCCAGGATGTTTTGATTCGTATGCCTTTGTGGGCGTGGCTGCTGCCTGAAATTCGAAAAAAGGCAATTTTTTAAACTACCACTAAGGCCGCACTACTCAGTCCATGTCATTGATGTGGATATCAGTAGAAGGGTCTTCAAACAGGCTATCTAACTCTATCTTTTGTGTTTATAAAATATAAAATTTCATAACGTTATCGCCCGCAAACTAAAAATCGGGCTGCTGAAAATATAACATTCGGGCATTTTCTCAAAAACTGGTCAGTCGATTTTATTCTAGGTTTCCACAAGTCTAGCCCAAACCTTAGCTTTCATCTGGTATACAGCTTATATCTGGGAAAACTCTTGTTGTGGAGATATTGCGATTCAAATTGAAAAAATGTCGCTCCAAAAAGGGTCAAATGGTTAAAAATTAACATATCCGTCTAATTTGGTTATTTTAAGATATAAAAATAACTTACCCAGTTCCCCAAAAAAATTGCCCATTCCCCGATTGCCACTTAAACCGAATTTCCCTGAAAATCGGGGAATTTTCCGCGAGTTGACAAGTTGAATGATGCAGCTGTGCTAATCACTTCCTAAATGTCTTGTAAACCACTATTTGTGTGTATTTTAGACCACTTAACCTACCAGGGAAGACGCGTACAATATTACCTATAGTTGTACATAAATATATATGTATGAATGCATTTAGTTCACCCAGTGTGCCGCTACTACTTACATACATATGTATAAATTGCCACTGAGCAAAACTACTTGAGAAAAAAGCATTAGTTTAGTAGCACGAGTGCAGATAGATAGATAGATAATTAATAGAGGCATGCACTGCGACCAGCAGGTCTATTGTGCCCTCAACCATTTACAGTACCTCATCTAATCCTGGAGAGCCCAAAAATTGAGGAGATCCCCAGGGATTAGCGATTGTATTGCTTCGTTACTTGGCCAGTAGTGGCCCAGGTACCTCTCCCGTCTTCTCGCGACCGCCGCGCATTCGCTAAGCAGGTGTACGGGAGTCTCCTCGGTCACGTCGCAGAAACGACATAGGTCGTTTGACCAAATCCCTAGCTTGTGTAGGTGGCCTCTCAGTCTGCAGTGACCCGTCAGAAAACCTGTTATAATCCTTAGTTTTCCTTTGGATAGATTGATAATTGCCCTGTACCTCGTAAGGTTGTAGCCTCCCAGTAGGTGTTTTGCTTGACGTAAACCTGTTACGCCAGTGTTGATTCCTTTGTATGTTCCTTTCTTTCCTGAGCTCCTGTTGTTGTTGTTGTTGTAGCGGCTACAACAACCCCGCCCAGGACGGTTGGTATCTCAGTCGTTGTCGTCAAGTTCCACTAACGGCAACCCTAGGAAGCGTGCAGCTTCTGTGGGGTTTGTCCACAGGGACAAGGCCGTTAGGGTTGTCGGGTTTTCCGGGCATGCGAATAGATGTTTCGAGTCATGTGGGATCTCTCCGCATGCCGGACACTCATTCGGCACATCCTCATTCCACCTACTCAGGTAGGAGTTCAACCTGCTGCAGTAGCCGGAGCTAAGTTGTGCAAGTGTTGTGCGTGTCTCCCGAGGCAGATGAAGCTCCGTCTCGTCTATGTCCGGGGGTGGTATGCCTAGAACGGCATTTACAGGTCTAGAGTCTACATAACTCGAGACTGAGTCCCTGTGAATGCCGTTCAGGGCCTGTCGGCCTCCTTGATTGTACTAGGTCCAATCGCTAGGAAGGGCTCAGGCCCTATAGGCGACGAGGCGGCCGCCATTCTAGCTAGTCGGTCCGCTTCCTCGTTGCCCGCAACTCCTATGTGTCCTGGTACCCAAGTTAATTGGATTTCGTTGTGCTCCGCCAGGCTGTTGAGCCTATCTATGCACTCAAGAACCAAGGACGACTTGACCTCAAATGCTGAGAGGGCCTTGAGTGCCGCCTGGCTGTCGCTCAATATTAAAATTCTCTCGTTACGGTAATTCCTACGTAGATTAATCTCTGCACACAGACTGATGGTATAGACCTCCGCCTGGAAGATACTCGGGTATGCCCCCATAGGTACCGAGAGCTGTAGCCTCGGCCCGTGGACGCCAGCCCAATGCCTTCCGGAGTCTTCGAGCCGTCTGAATACCATTGCAACGAGCTCGATTGGATCAGCCTCTCCATGAGAGAGGTGCTCCAGGTCGCCTTGGTGCAAAGCTCTATCTTGAAATTCCTGTCCTTAGGCTTGTCGTCTCTGGGGAGTAAAGCTAGCGGAACTTGGGAGCCTAGCTTGTCTCTGTTCCTTAACGATATGGTTTTGCCCCTGCCAAAGCCTTCCCTCGCGAAATTTAGTAGAGTTCCTGTTCTATGGTAAGGTGCAGCGGCTCGAGCTCGAGAATCACCTCCAGCGCTGCCGTAGGACATGTGCTCATTGCCCCCGTAATGCATACACATGCCAGACGTTGAAGCTTGGTGAGGGATTGCCTCACCGTGGTGAGGGTGGTTTTCGAGGCCCAAGCCACTGCTCCATAGGTGACTATTGGTCTAACTATCATGGTATACATCCATCTCAGAATTCTGGGACTACAGCCCCAGGTCTTCCCTGCCAGGAATTTGCATACCATTAGTGCCCTCGTAGCTTTGGAAGTGACCGCGTCAACATGTGCCTTCCACAGAAGTCTAGAATCCAGGGTTAGTCCTAGATATTTAACTTCGGTGGCGACGTTGATGGCGACCCCATTCAAAGAGATGTTCCTCATGCCTGGAAGCGTTCTTCTTCTAGTGAAAGGGACAATAACCGTTTTAGAGGGGTTGATGCTGAGGCCCATGTCCACGCACCAGCCTCTTGCCAGGTTTAGTCCCCTTTGCACTATATCACAGAGAGTGCTCACGAACTTTCCTCTGGCGATAATCACGATGTCATCCGCATAGCCTTGCCAGCGGATGCCATTGTTCGTCCACAACTAAGCTCCACAGGAGAGGGGATAAGACTCCTCCCTGCGTGCAACCTTTTGTAGTGTTTAGCTGTACCACGCTGTTCCCGATGTCGGTTTCAGAGATTCTTGAATTTAGTAGCCTGGCTATCCACCTGCGGATCGTTGCCTGCACATTACGTTTTTCAAGTGCGCGGTCGACGCTAATATGAGAGGTGTTGTCAAACGCCCCCTCAATGTCGATGAAGGCACAGAGTACTGTTTCCCCACACTCAAATGCATCTTGTACTACCGTAGACAAGGTGTACAGTGCGGTGTCCGTAGACCTGCCCACTCTGTAGGCATGTTGGTCGGGGTGTAAAGGCACCTGTTTAAGGGTGCTGTTCCTGATTTCATGGTCGATCACCTTCTCCATCGCCTTAAGCAGGAAGGAGGTAAGGCTTATCGGCCTGAAGGACTTAGCTAGAGAGTAATCTCTCTTTCCTATCTTCGGGATAAAAATAACCCGAGCCCTTTGCCACACCTCAGGGATGTGAGCGAGCGCTAGGCTAGCCCTCATGATGTTCACGAGGTGTGGAAGTAGGAGCTCCTTGCCTTGCTTCAGCAACACTGGACTGATGCCATCCACCCCGGGGGATTTATACCGGTCGAAGGAGTCTATCGCCCAGCAGACTGATCGGTGGGTAAATAGACTCCTAGCTAGCTTCCAGTCCACCGGGGACGGCCTGGTCCGTCGGGACGGTGCCTCCCCCGAAGTGGGAGTGGCATCCGGGAAATGGGCCGAAAGCAGGGCAAGTGCCCTTTCCTCTTCGTTGCCTGAGTAAGTGCCATTGGCTAGCTGGATTGCTAGTCTGGTATCTGTATGGTCCCTTGCTAAGGCCTTGTGCAGCCTGGCAGCTGAAGGAGTCGATGAGATGCCCTCAGAACTTCCTGAAACTGTCGCGTTTAGCCTTCCTGATTTCTTTACTGTAATTAGTTAGACTTGCTGAATACTCAGCCCAGCGCCCTGTGCGCTTTGCTCTATTAAATAGTTTGCGTACCTCCCTTCTGAGCACCGATATCTTCCGAGACCACCAGTTGGGCTGCGGCTTCCCTCCTGGTTTTGTCTCCGGGCAGCTTGAGTGAAAGGCATCTACAATAGCGCCATTTAACTCATTGACGGTGCTCTCTAGGCTCATGCAGTTAGTGTACCTACTCCTGGACTTAATTCCAGTTAGGTTTGACTCTAAAGTCTCGTTGTACTTTGTCCAGTCAGTTTTCCTGGGGTTCCTGTTTGCCTGCCTAGTTTTGACTTCTACTCCCAGTACAAACTGGATAATCCTATGGTCTGACAGTGAGGGCTCCGATGAGACCCCCCCACTGGGTGACCAGAGGGCTAGCCAGTCTGTTGCTAAGCGTGATGTCTAGTACCTCCTCTCTAGCCCTCGTTACAAATGTCGGTGTTTGGCCAACATTGTGGATGCTTAGTTCCTCACTTAAGATGTACTCTACGAGACACTCACCTCTGCGGTTCGTATCCGTGCTGCCCCACTCAACGTTGTGGGCATTCGCATCGCACCCTATGATGAGGTGGAGCCGTCTCTTTCTGCAGAATTCCACTAGCTGCTGTACGTCTTGCGGAGGGGCGTAGTTGCTGTCCCCCGGGAAATAGGCCGCGGCAAACACCACCTCCAGGCTTCTGCCACTTAACGAGAGCGTCGTCTGCACTGCGACCAAGTCCTGTGTTAGAAACTCTGTAATGCAAAAGTAATCAATGTTCTTCTTAAGCACCACACATGCTCTGGGCCTCTCGCAGGAGAGGTCCCAAATTACCTTGTTGTTGTTGTGGTTGAGGCCCCTAACCTGGCTTCTGTAGGTCCACGGCTCTTGGATCAGTAGAATGCCCAGGTCATCCGTGGCGAACCTGCTGGAGATGACCGCCGAAGCAGCCACCGCATGATGCAGGTTGACCTGGGCTACTGCCAAGTGACGAGTGGTCATAGTTGGGGCTCGTCGAGATCGGAGAGCTGTAGTTCGCTGTCGCTTCTCCTATCGAGCTCAAGTCGCCTGAAGTCGATGCCTATTTGATACAATTCAAAACATTCATTTCATTTCAATAGTCTGTAAGAAAGAGTTCTGTAGAGAAAAAAAAAATAAAAATAAATAACAAAAAAATTAAAATCCGGCCCTCTTTATGCTGACGTACGACGCCTCGTCGATGCCCAGGTTGAGCCTGAGCACGTTGTCCTCAGCGTCGCACGACACCACCTTCCACGCAGCCGTGTGGACACCCTCGTTCTGGGCCTGAATAAGCGCCAGCACGTACTCAGCCGATTTCTCGGCGCATCTAGGGAAAAACACCGAGATCGTGTGCACCGGCGGGATCTCCTCCCCCCTTTTCGTGCATAGCTCGGGTCCCTTCCACCCTTCAATAGCCGGTGCCTTTTCTGCCAGCCAGGCTGCAGTCCGCTCATCCTTGCAGTCCACAAGGAGCATGCCTGATCTGAAGAACACCCCACAGAACACCAGAGGGTGCCTCCACCCTTTTAGGACCTCGTCCATAATCACATCCTGGAGTCTGGTTAGGTCCTCCGGGCATAGAGCAGCTGCAGGGTAGTCACAGGGCAGGGTAGTTCACCTGAGTTGCTGCCATGCTGCCTAACAGCGGTAGCAGCCCTATTGCCTCTGCGCTTGCGCTCTTCACGCTCACGTTCCTCGAGCTCCACCACCTGCCGTACTTCCGCCATAGCGCGGGCTTCATCAGCAGATTTCCCCTGCCGAAGGTACCGAAGATACCACTTGACCCCCGACCCACCAAGGCCAGCTCGATGGTGGTCGTCAAGGGCTCCCGGTTGACCGGAGGGGGGTAGTGGAGGAGGTCTGCACCTACGACTGCGTTTCTTACTCTCCTGTACATGCCACCCTGAACCTTGTGACGCTGTGGAGGTCCGACTGGGAGACCTACGGAGCCTACTTCCGGAACGGTGCCTGCTGCTGGAGCGATGCCTGCTCTCCGAGCGACGCCGGCCCCTGGACCGGCAACGACTCTCGGAGCGGTCACAACTCCTGGAGCGACGCCGACCTTCAGTCCGCTGCCTGCTAGCAGAGCGATGCCTGTTTTTCGGGAGTGATGCATCTGCTCCCTTGAGGCCTTCCGAAAGGCGCTGCGCCTGATCCACACCGCCCTGCTGGTTCTTGGCTTCTCTTCATCCCTGGCGTGTTCAATGGCAGCCTCTTCTTCGGTCAGGCTCTCAAGGAAGCTACCCCTGCGCCTGGTGCCTTTACCCCCGCCCAGCATGTTACTGCCGTGCGTGGCCGTTGCTGTTCTTTGCGCTGTTGCTGCTATGTCCGCAGCAGTTGCAGTTGCTGTAGTTGTTGCTGTTAACGCTGTTGCTGCTGTTGCAGCACTAGTTGCAGCTGTGGCTGTAGTTGACGTTGTAGCTGTCGCTGTCGCTGTTTTTGTGCTTGCTTTGCTGTTTTTTGCTGTTGTTGTTTTTGTTGTTTTTGTTGCTTTTAATTGTTTAGTTGTAATCATCTTGTTCGTACGACTGCCTGCTCGACGAGGCGAGTTCAGCAGTCAATTTTGTTGAAGGGGATCTTATCTGGTCCGCCGCGCCAGCGCCCCATGTCGCGGTAAGGCCACCGTTACTCCTCGATGCGGCCCGGTGTCGAAGAGGCGCCGTTATACTACAGCCGGTTTATACCCTCCTGGCTGCAAACCGTCCAATAGGCACGGTGTCGCGTCACACCCTGGATTAGGAGGTGGCAGTTCTTGGTCACCGTTCGCCGGCAGCCCAAGTCTGGAGAAAAGGCAGCGCAGAAGCGACGAGCGCGTCAGCGATGCCCCAGACCAGAAAGGGGCTGGTCGGCCATTCAGCTAAGCCCCCGCACCAACGGCAAGGTGCCTGCCCTAGGGAGGGCTCGGACGTGCTTGCTGGAGTTGGTGTCTGGGTGAGGGGTAGCTGACTGAGGGGTGGCTGTGCGAGGGGTGGCTGTTCCGCCGGTAAGGTCGAGGTTAACTGGGTCGCCTGGGCAGCGGAGGAGTCGGCAGCCGCCTCGATTTGGGTCTCCTGCGACTCCGACTCCTTGCTACCTGTCGCCTTTTGTCGCCACGGCCTCACCGTGACGAAACTGAACCTATAGTTTAGGTTGAAGCCAGCCCTCTTGATGCTGACGTACGATTCCTCATCTATGCCCAGAAATAGTCTGAGCCCGTTCTCCTCTACGGAGCTGGACACTACCTTCGACGCAGAGATGTGGATGCCCTCATTCTGCGCTTTGAGTAGCCTCAACGCAAACTCCGCCGACTTATCGGCGCTCCTTGGCAGGAACACCGTGATGTTATGCACTGGAGGGATGTCATCCCCCCTCTTCGTGCACATCTCGGGTCCCTTCCAGCCCTCAAGTGCCGGTGCTTTCTTCACCAGCCAGGTTGCTGTTCTCTCGTCCCTGCATTCCACCAGGAGCATGCCGGATCTACACACCAAAGAACACCAGCGGGTGCGACCATCCTTTGAAAACCTCTTCCATGATGGCATCCTGGAGTCTGGTTAGGTCTTCCGAACTCAGGGCAGCAGCAGGGTACTCACAAGGCAGCACCGCTACCCGAATGCCTTTGAGGGCTTCCGAATAGCTGGGTTGCTGAGTGGAACCCCCATGTGCCTGTCCTTGCTCGATCGGCCCGACCAGGCTCCTAGACCATGAGTTCGGAGGGGGTGGCTGCTCCCGCTGCCGTTTGGTGCCCGGTGTCTCTGGCGGAGTGACCTGGTTGCTACCTCTTTTGTTGGAGCCTGTGGGTTCCTCGCTTCTCCGCTTTTCAGCGGGCGCGGGTCTGTGCTGCTGTTATCGCTGTGGCCCGCTCTTCTGCTTTTCAGCAGGTGCGGGTAAGTGTGCCAGTTTGTTGGGCCCGCTCTTCCACCTATCGGCGGGTGCGGGTTTGTCGCCTTTTCTGTGTCTCTCACGTCCGTCATTCTCAACCTCCATTCTGCACTCTGCCATGGCTCTGGTTTCAACTGAGGGCTTGCCTTGCCCGAGGTACCGGAGGTACCATTTAACCCCAGAACCGCTTAAGCCCTCGCGAAGCCGATCGTCTAGGGACCCCGGTTGACCTGGCCGCGGAATCGGAGGAGGCTTGGCCCTGCGGTGCTTCCTACTCCTTTGCTTCCGCCACCCGGAGTCGTCGGACGCTGCTGAGGCGCTGCTACTGTGCGACCTATGGAGTCTCTCCTTCTCCGCCCGGTGACCGCTTTCGGAGCGGCGCCGGCTCTTGGAGCGCTGCCGGCTCTCTGAGCGGTGTCGACTCGTATAGCGACGCCGACTACCCGAGCGATGCCGGTTCTTGGAGCGGTGACTACCATCGGTGCGGTGGCTGCTGTCTGACCTTGCTGTCTCTCTGTACCTGCAATGAGAACTGCCGGACCGGTGTTGCGGCCGATCTGGTTCGGCAGGTAAATTGTGATTTCCTGTCAAATTTCTGTTATTAGAACTACCTGTTTTGCTCTGGCCCATGCGACGTAGCGCATCTGCACTGGTTCCTGGTTGGTTATCGTCCCTTGCATGTTCGATGAACAGCGCTGCCTCCTCGGCAGTTAACTGGTCTAGGAAACTGCCTTTCCGCCCAGCACTTCTTGGACCTTCCCACGCGCTGCTGTTTCTTGGCGTCTCCAGTGCCTTAGTTGTGCATGTTGCTGTTACACCTACCGCATTTGAAGCCGCAGGTGTTATTGTTGCTGTACTTGCTGTTGTTGTGGCTGTTGTTGTTGAATTTTGGGTTTTTTTTTGTTTTTTTGGTTTTTTTTTGTTGTTTTCGTCATCATCTAGTTCGTACGACCACCTGCTCGACGAGGCGAGCTCAGTGGTCTAAATTTTCGTAGGGGATCTCCAAAAGTCCGACGCGCCAGTGCCCCTTGTCGCGGTAAGGCCACCGTTACTCCCCGATGCGGCCCGGTGTCGGAAAGGCGCCGTTCAAATACAGCCGGTTTATACCCTCCTGGCTGCAAACCGTCCAATAGGCACGGTGTCGCTTAACACCCTGCATTAGGAGGTGGCAGTTCTTGGTCACTGTTCTCCAGTAGCCCAAGTCCAGAGAGAAGGTAGCGCGGAGGTCTGCACATCCGCGTTACCTCAAACCAGAAGAGGGCTGGTTGGTGATGCAGCTAAGGCCCCGCACCAACGACAAGGTGCCTGCCCTAGCGAGGGTAGCACGAGTGCAACATCGTACACGTAATAGAAGTAAAACTTCTTAAAAAGAGCACATGTGTGCGCCCCACACCCGGTAGAAATCTTAACAAAAATAAACTACGAGACTATCATACGAATATAGTTGTTTATTGTATCCATAGTTGGTACCAAGTTGATAAGTTTTTATCATATTTTATATTTTTAATTTTTAATTTTTTCGAATACAAAAAAAATCGAAAAATTATGTGTTTCAATGGACACATCGATTTAAATATATAATTTAGATTTAAATAATATTTTTAGCAATTTATTTGAGAAAAATAAAACATTTAGATTATTGTTTGTATTTTGGTCGATTTTAAATTTGCTACCCAAAAATAATTGATATCAAATAAAGCACCTCTTTGAGGTAAAAGTTTCGAGTGACTAAAGCTGAACTAGAAACACAAAATTTATGATATCAATTTCGTGACGAAAATTATACGCATTTTTGACTGCCTTTGAAACGTACGGAAAATCTTTTTTATTTATTCGGAACGTTGCGTTTTCTGCTAGAAACACAAAATAAAAAACGGAACTTATGCAACGATTCGTATGAATAAAAAAGATTTTCCGTACGTTTCTAAGGCAGTCAAAAATGCGTATAATTTTCGTCACGAAATTGATATCATAAATTTTGTGTTTCTAGTTCAGCTTTCGTCACTCGAAACTTTTACCTCAAAGAGGTGTTTTATTTGATCCAGATATACACTGAAGAGCAAAACTGGAACAATAGAACGGAAAGTTAGATAGATAGATAGATAATGAAACGAGGTTTGCACCGCGACCTATTGGTCTATTGTGCCCTCCACTCTTTACAATACCTCCTCTAAACCTAATTCCCTGAGAAAATTTAACAGTGCCTTAGGAGATAGGGAGATAATGTGCCTAAGCTGTGGCCACATTGAGCCTAAACTTCTCTCACGTCTTCTGCAGACTGCATCACATTCGGTGAGGATGTGAAGAGGTGTCTCGCTGGTAGTGTCGCAGAACCGACACAGGTCACTCGACCATATCCCCAACTTATATAGATGTCCTCTCAGCCTGCAGTGTCCTGTGAGGATACCTGTTATGATTCTAAGCTGCCCTTTTTGGAGGTCAATTAAGCTTTGGAATCTCCTTCTGTTATAACCTCCCAGTAAACTCTTTGCCTGACGCATTCCTGACGATCTTTGCCAGTTTAGTTCCCTCATAGTGATTCTCTCTCTCCTAGAGTGTTGGGACCCTATCCTATGAAGGGCTCAGGGCCAACTGGAGTGGTGGCTGCCGCCACTCTCGCGAGGCAGTCAGCTGCCTCGTTACCCTCTACTCCCCTGTGACCAGGTACCCACGCTAACTTGATGTTATTGTGTCTACCCAGGGAGTTAAGCTTCTCAATGCACTCCAGGACCAGCGACGATTTGACCTCATAGGATATGAGGGCCTTGAGTGCTGCCTTGCTATCGCTAAGGATTATAATTCTCTCGTTTCTATACCCTCTACCCATGATTGTATCCGCACATAGGCAGATAGCATAGACTTCTGCTTGAAAGATGCTCGGATATTTCCCCATAGGAACAGAAATCCTGGCCCTGGGTCCCACAATTCCAGCACCTATTCCTTCTGGGGTCTTCGAGCCATCCGTGTACCAGTGCAGAGTGCAACCCTGAAGTAATGCCTCGAAAGCGGAAACACTCCAGGTCGACTTACTGCAGAGCTCTATTTTGAATCTCTTCTCAAAGACTATGGTCTTTCCTATGTCATCTCTAGGTAGCAGGGCTACCTTTTCCAAATCCCTCTCTCGCAATGTTAAGCAGAGTTCTTTTGGCTGCCTGCTCTATGGTTATATGAAGAGGCTCAAGTTCAAGGATTACTTCCAGCGCTGTCGTCGGACATGTGCGCATCGCTCCTGTTATACAGACACATGCCAGTCGTTGTAGCTTGGGGAGCGATTGTCTCACCGTGGCTAGAGTAGTTCTAGAAACCCAGGCTACCGCCCCATAGGTGATCATTGGCTGTACTATCATGATGTAAAGCCATCTCAGGATCCTGGGCGTACAACCCCAGGACTTTCCCGCCAGACGCTTACACACCATTAACGCTTTCGTGGCCCTGGAGATGATCGCGTCCACATGTTTCTTCCATAGAAGTTTGGTGTCTAGGATTAGTCCCAGATACTTCACTTCGCTGGCGACGCTAACCGCGACCCCCTCCAAGGTTATGTTCCTCATGCCCGGAAGGGCTCTTTTCCCAGTAAAAGGAATGACGGCGGTTTGGCAGGATTTATGCTAAGTCCTAACTTCCCTGTAGTCAAATGTACTAGTTGTAAACTACTTCACAACTAGTATGAACCGCATGCCCAACTAGTCAGCCAACTAACTTTTTTTCATGCAATCAACTGGTATTTTTAACATGGGGATGTCCTACGAGATGGCAATTGTCAGATATCGGTCAGAAATATACCAGTCTCATACTAGTACAAAATAGACAGAAAAATACTAGTGAAATTATGGACGAAAACAACTACTTTGGGAGTCAAAATAATAAAATGAATTCATGAATATAATATAAAAAACTTTTAAGTACACTTTAATTTATTACACATTTTTATTTAGCAGCCTTAGATTTGCCAATAAATAGTGTTAAATTTGTATAAAATATTCTTAATTTTTGTCTATAGTTTGCCTTGATGATTAATAATAAAAATTAATCAAATAATTATAATCGTGTAATTAAAACAACTCAAAAATAATTGAAAATGATCAAAAGTAACGAAACAATGATGTAATTAAAATTAATTAATTAATTAACATTTTTTAAGTAATTAATTACTTTTTTTAAGTAAGAATTTTTTAAGTAATTAATTATATCCGTATTTAATCATTAAACGGTTATCCAAACATAAACATGCTTTAATTAATAATCATTATGACTATTAATTATTATTTAACAGGTATGGTATAATTGCGAGTACGTACTCGCTTTAACGGTTTACAATATAGCCAAATAAAAGTTATAATATTTTGTGTACTTTATTGTATTAAACTGTCGAAGTCAAATAAAACAGGGCATGAATAAATCGTTTTGTACTTGGTACAAGTCTGGTCATTTTCGAACTAGATCGGTTTCTGTCATGAAATTCTAGTTGTAAACTAGTATTTTTCCTGACTAGTTTGGGATTTCACTGCAGGGTTGTTGCACCATCCCTTCGTGATGCCTAAGCCTCTTTGAATGATGTCGCAGAGGGTGCTCTCGAACTTCCCCCTGGCCCCCTGAATCTCGGTTGTCAGTTGGAACAGGGCTGGTGGACCTTCCAGCCCTGTATGCATGCTGACTGGAGTGCAGGGGTATATCCCTCAGAATGGTTGATCTAATGTGGTTATCTAAAATCTTCTCCATTGCTTTTAACACAAAGGAGGTTAAGCTTATTGGTCTGAACGACTTCGCTAGCGAGTAGTCCCTTTTACCCCCTTTCGGGATGAAGATTACTCGCGCCCTTCGCCACAACCGTGGGACATACGCTTCTGCCAGACTGCTTCTCATTATGTCCACGAGATGCGGTATTACACTCTCACCGCCCTGCTGTAACATCACTGGCCCGACGCCATCTACCCCCGGAGCCTTGCAGCGCTCAAACGAGCCTAGCGCCCATCCGACTGAAGACTGAGTGAAAATACCTCTCGCCAGTCTCCAATCAGATGGTCGCGGCCTAGATCGCTGGATCTCCAGCTCCTCCATCAGATTAGAGGCCTCCGGGAAGTGTGCTAGCATCAGGGCGGTGGCCCTCTCCTCTCTACTGTTGGTGTAGGTGCCATCTGAGAGCTTAAGCGCAAGCTCCGCTTCAATAGTTCCTTTGGCTATAGCCTTATGTAACCTCGCAGCGGCCGGGGTATTCGAAATACCTTCACAGAAGGTTCTGAAACTTTCCCTTTTCGCCTTCCTAATCTCTTTGCTGTACTTAGTTAGACTAGCCCAGCATCCTGTGCGCTTAGCCCTATTGAACAGCCTGCGCGTGTCTTTCCGGATGGATGAGAGTTCCCGAGACCACCACACAGTTTTCCCTTTCCCCCTTGGTTGAGTCTCGGGGCAGCTTTAGTTAAAGGCATCAGTCATTATATCTGTTAGCCTATTAACTTTATGCTCTAATGCCATACAGCCGCCTTTTTTGTGGTCCCTCTCTAACCCAGGTAGGTTAAAATCTAGTAATTTCCTATACTTTTCCCAGTCGGTGTTCCTGGGGTTCCTCTTCGGAATCCCTGCTCTGGCCTGCACTCCCAGCAAGAAGCGGATAATCCTGTGGTCGGACAAGGAGGGTTCCGAAGACACCCACCATTGTCCAATCAGATTATTACCCAGATCGTTGCTGAGAGTCAGGTCAAGGACTTCCTGCCGGGCTCTAGTGACAAATGTTGGACATTGCCCAACATTGTTTATATACAGATCTTCACTTAGAATGTACTCAAGTAAGGACTCACCCTTTGTTGACTTTGTTGATGTCGGTGCTGCCCCACTCAACGTGGTGGGCATTCGCATCGGAACCGAGGATTAAAGGAAGTCGGGCTCTTCTGCAATGCTCCACCAGGTCTTGTACCTCTGCAGGGGGAATGCTGTGGTTATCCCCCGGAAAGTATGCGGCGGCAAACACTATGTCCCTGGGTCTTCCTTCCACCCAAAGCGTCGCTTGTACTGCTACCAGATCCTGGCTTAAAAACTCTGTAATGCAGAAAAAATCGATATCATTCCTGACCATTACACATGCTCTAGGCCTCTCAACGGAGAGGTCCCATATTACCTTACTATGTGTTCCTTTGAGGCCCCTTACCTGGCCCTGTATGTCCACGGCTCCTGAATCAGTACTATGCCCAGATCGTCCGTAGAAAACCTGCTCACAATTACAGCCGAGGCCGCGACCGCGTGGTGCAGGTTGGTCTGGGCTACTGACAAGGGCGGTGGGTGCCTCATAATTGCTCATCCAGGTCCGAGAGCCTTAGTTCGCTCTCGCTTCCCCTGTCAAGCTCTAGCCTCCTCAAATCAATACCCTCGAGCAGCTCCTGCGTAGAGGGGACTTTCCCCTGTATAATAGCTGCTGTGTCTCGCACATTGGTACCTCGTTCGTCGGAAGATTGGGCCAGAGATGTCGGCTCAGAGGACCGCGCGCCCTTCCCTGACGTGGTTGCCTGTGAGGTTGCTACAGCCGGCAGACTTCCATCCACCTGCATAGCTTCCTCGCCTCCCTCCTTCTCTTCCGGAGCCTTCGGTCGCCAAGGCCGCATGGTGACAAAACTGAACCTGTAGTTCAGCTTGTACCCTGCCCTTCGGACATTGCTAAAAGAGTCCTCATCAATGCCGACGTTCAAACGCAGGCCGTTGTCCTCTATGCTGCTTGAGATTACGCGCCACGCTGGGGTGTCGAGACCCCCGTTTTGCGCCCTCAGCAGCCCTAACGCATATTCTGACGGTTTGTCCGCACTTCTCGGCAGGAAGATGGTCATGTTGTACATGGGTGGGATATCATCTCCCCGTTTCACGCACAGCCGGCCCCCTTCCAGCTACCTAATTTCGGTGTAACCTCCTCTAGCCATTAGGCCGTGCCCTCATCTTTGCAGTCTACCAGGAGCATGCCTGGACGGAAGTACACCCCGCAGAATGCAAGCGAATGCGTCCACCCTTTGAACACCTCGTCCATTATGGCGTCCTGTAGGGCAGTTAGCTCAGCCGGACTCAGCGCCTCCGCAGGGTAGTCACAAGGCAGCACCGCAACC